CAATCAAGATAGAAAGATCAAAAAACACAGAACAGAAGGTGTAGACATGAAAAGAGTGCAGAGGGTCCAAAATAAGGATGTAGGATACAAAGTAGAGAGAGGAAGGAATGAAAGTAGACAGAAAAGGAAGGACACAGAAGCAAAGAAGATGAACGCACAAAGGCGGGGGGGGGCAGAATGGGAAAAGAAAATGCTAGGAGGCAGGAGAGGGTGTGACACAGAGGCAGAAGAAGCTGGAGAAGTGTATTAGAATTACAGAAGGTGTGAGGTGAAGCTGGAAGAAGATGAAGAGGACACAACAATGGCAGAGCGATGGAGGTTAGGAATGAATTGTATAAGCAGAGCAGTGGGGAAGATGAACAAAAGAAAGAGAGGATGATTAAATGATGGAACAGAAGCACAGAGAGGAAAAAGTACAGACTGTGACTGAAAGGGAGATGAGGACGGGCTGATGGTTTTAGGATAGGAGGTGGGGGTGCAGGATGAAGGAAAAGGTAGATAAAGAAGGTGAAGACTCAAGGGAAGATGAAAGAGGGGAAGGAAGATTGCTGAAGGAGCACACTGGAGAGCAGTGGAAGTGTAAAGGAAACGGAGAGCAAGGCAGGGTTCAGAGGAAGAGGGGTGCCAGAGGCCATGACAACTCGATACAGGATAAGACGATGTAAAAGAAAAATGTCAAACAAAAATTGACAGCTGGATGGAAGAAAGAGAAAAGCCAAGGGGGTGGGGGATAGAGGGGGCTGGAAATATAAGAGGGTTTGCATAGATAAGAAGGAAAGTTAGAAATTTTGATGAAGGGAGATGGAAAAAGAGAACAATATGGCTGAGAAAGTTAGAGGAAAGGCAGAAAGGGAGATAAGAGATACATCATGTGATCGTCTGTGCCAGAAAACAAGCAATGTTGAGAGAGGGGAGCTGAAAGCAGGAGCCAAAGAAGACAGCCAGAGAGAAAGGCTGGATGGACGAAGGCGGGAGATACTGGAAAGAAAAGAGACATAATAATAATAATAATAATGATAATACATTTTATTTGAGGGCGCCTTTCAGAAACCCAAGGTCTCCTTGCAAAAAACACAATTAATAAAAATAACAGTAGTCATAAAATACATAAAATAAGTTAAAATTACAAAACAGAGCGTGACAACAGATAAAATCAGCATTAAAGCGAATAAGCCAGTTTAAACAGGTGTGTTTTGAGCTGTGTCTTAAATGTGGAGAGGGAGTCAATATTTCTTAGTGCAGGAGGAAGAAAGTTCCAGAGCCGGGGAGCAGAGCGACTGAAAGCTCTGTTCCCCTTAGTGATAAGGTGTGAGGACGGAACGGTAAGATGAGTAGCAGATGATGATCTGAGAGGGCGGGAAACAGTGGTGAAATGGAGCAGGTCACACAAATATGAAGGAGCAGATTTATGGATACATTTGAACGTGAGAAGTAAGATTTTAAAATTTATCCTGGCTTCTATGGGCAACCAGTGAAGCTGCTGAAGAACTGGGGTAATATGAGCACTTAACAGAGTGCAAGTTATGACCCGAGCTGCAGAATACATGGCTCTTTCCTGCTTTCCAGTTGGAGTCAGTCACAGCATCTACTACTATACACATCTACTAAGTCAAAAAAGGTAAAGAGGATTTAAATAAAAAATATATACATATGAAAAATATTTTTCATATTATAGTGCCATAAACATATATATATATTTTTTTAAAATAGAAGAACTGGTAACATTTTATGTTCCAAGAGTCAGGTGTAAGGTGTACAGTAATTAAATGGATTTTCAGTGTATTTTATTTGAAATTATTATTAAATTATTATTATATTTAGATTTAAATACTTCAAGGTCCACTGATGCACCAAAAAGTATCGCGTATTTGCGATATTAGAAGCAGAAATATTGTTTTTAAGCAGAATTAGCAAAAATACATTAAAAAAATACATAAAATTACTATTTTCTAAAATTATAGTGTTTCTGAAGAAGAATTGTATTGTGTCATTTTTAGTTGCCAATTTGTAACAATCTTCCAAATCCCTACACGACAATACTTACTGTACATAATACCATTAACTATCCCAAATTTATGCATATTGTTGTCATTGAACTGTGGCTGTAAATTTTCTCCTTAGCCAAACTTGACTAAAAGAGAAATTGTCCATTTGACATCAAATACAAAGGGCTTTTTTTTCCTGGTACTGTTTGCTTGGATTTGGGTCATAAGATGAAAATAAATTAATAAATCGAGGTGCTGTTGCATCAAACATTACAAGCAAACTTAGCAGAAAACAAATTCAGTGAGTTGAAAGCTTTTATTTATATTTTAGATAATAAAACAAGAGCAACATTCACAAAAAAATGTTTTATGCTTATATAAAAAATGAAATGTAGAATCAAAGAAATCTTTCATTTCTTGAATGTCCGGTGTCCATTTTCCCTTTCGGCCACACTCGCCTGAAAGGAAAGGAGAAAATTCTTTTTTTTTAAAAAAGAAGACAAAAAAATGAGGTCAGGTCTTTGCCTGCCTTTTGACAGCAATGACAGATGCATCAGTGAATCTAAACATTGAATTATTCAGGAGAAAAACTTACAAGAAGTCCTTTCACTCTGTACATTTTGGCAAAAGGTGATTCCTCTGCACAACCGAAAACACTGCAAGGTGCTTCGATGCGTGGGAACTCTTCAACCATCTTTTGTTGAGGAAAAATGAAGAAACATTGCAGTGAAAAGCAACAGCTGCTAATGTACAGATAAAGAGTTGCTGTTAGACTAATGCTTACATTGCCCAGTGTGTCTGAGAAGTTGTCCAGATCCCTCTTCCCTCCTGGGCTCAGTCCGTATGACCAGTGCTGACAGCAGCCCTGTGGAAACACCGTCCCTGCGAGCAGCAGCCACAGTGCCAAGATTTTTGCAGCCATTCTGAGGATAAAGCTTCACATTTTGCACGTAAGCATGTTAATGATAGAATTTTTCCCCCATTTAACTCCAGATATTGTTTCAGTCCTTATCACATTTCAGATAAGACCTTACCTTCTGTGCATTAGACAAGAACTTCTGATCTCTTCTGCTGTCCTTTGTGAAGTCTGCTGCACATGATTTTCCAAGATTTATATAACTGTGCTTTGTTTCCTCCAACACTTCACTACAGGGGGTCACAAAGTGGGATTAAGCAACACTTGGCAACTCTGGCAACCCACAGAGCTGTTTGAACAATTGCACCTGATGTGTGATTTTTGCAGTTTCTGATCATTTTATGATGTACTTTGAACTGACTTCACAAGATATATGACAGTTATTCCAGAACTGCTTTGGTATGTTTTTCACCTCATGTGTACCCTGATGTACACAAACATGTTTTACAGAGCTTGCACGTCTCTGGGCAAAAATGCTATGTTGATGTGAGAGAATGGGCAGGCTGCTTTGAACGGATAGTAAGGCAACAGTAACCGAAATAACCAATTATAACAACCAGGGTATGCAGAAGAACATCTGCAGCAGCTGAAGACCACACCAGGTGCCACTACTGTCAGCTAAGAGGAGGAAACTGAGGCTACAGTTTAAACTGGCTCACCAAAATTGGTCAGCATAAAATTTGCAAAACATTCTGATTCACCAGTCTCAATTTCTGTTGCAACATTTGGATGGTAGGGTCAGAATTTGGTGTAAATAATGAAAGCATGAATGCATCATGCCTTGTATCATGTCCATTGACCGTGTTCATCCCTTTTGACCATAATGTACCAGCAGTATTATGCGCTAAAATCTCCTGAAAGTGGTTTCTTTAAGATGAAAGTGAGCCACTGGGGTTAAATGGTCTCCACAGTTCTTTGTTTTGTCCCTAGCTGGCGGTCAGCAGGGGAGGTCGAAGCAAATACGTCGCTGTGGGTGCCGTAGGGTTTCCATCTTGGTCAACAATGCACTTCCAGTCATTGCGATCTGTGTCCTTGACCTTTGCTTGCTTGATGGTTGTTTAAGATAGTCTTCAATTTGCTTGATCCAAGTCGTCTTGGGTGCATCACACTCGATTCTCCAGTGGGCGGTGCACTGCTGCAGCAGAAGGCGATATGGCAGGTGATGGTTGCTCATGCAGCAGACATGGCCAAACCATTGCAGTCGTCACTTCAGGGTCAGCTCTTCCATTTAGGGCTGCTGGTGACATTGACTACGTGTCACGCTGTTGCTGAGGCGGTCATGGAGGGACACTCGGAGAATCTGACGCAAACGGCCCATTTGGGAGACCTCGAGCTTGTTGAGGTTGTGTTTGAGGGTGACGCAGGGCTCGGATCAGTAGAGAAGAATGGGCAATACCAGTGAGCAGTACAGGCGGATTTTGGTGATGAGGGTGACGTTTGTCTTTTTCCAGATACACCATCGTGAGGAGGGGAATGCCGCCGCCGCTTGACCGATTCTTGAGTACATTTCCGCTGTTGATGCCACTTTTCTTGCATCAGAGAGCCGAGGTCTTTGAATTCCCGCAGTTGTTCGATTTGCATGGTGGCTGCATAAGGTCTTCTCAGTTACCAGCTTTCAATCTAACAGCATCTTTGGGATGTAGCAGAATGGGAGATTAACATCATAAATGTGTAGCCGACAAATCTGCAACAGTGCGACACTACCACCCTGGTGCTAATAAGGTGTAACTAATAAAGTGTCCAGCGAGTGTATGTTTTCCTAATACTCACAACATAGACCTTTAGTCTTTCCAGCTGTTGGTTGTCAGATGTTGTATTTCAAAACATATTCCAAGTGTGTAGAACTATTCGGCCGATAGGAACATTATCCATTTTGCTCATAAAGACAAGTGCAACTAATGACAGCTCAAGCTGTAGACAGCTGTGCTGAGTCATAGGCCAAAATGTCTAAAAACATTTGCAAATTTTAACAAAGAATGACAAATGCTCATTCAAATGAGCACAAGCAGCAGTTCTGAAGGATGTGACATGTTGTTTAGATGACTGTCATTCGAGAACTGAGCCAAAGCAACCGAGAAAGAAAAACAGATGACAAAGACTTTTTCTTCATAGCAGTTTATTTATAACAGTCATTTATGGAAACATATTTCCATGGTCGAGTGCAATATTCATAGACAGGGATAACTACACAACTCCCTGCCTCAAACAAATCAACCCCAGCCCCATATTGCATTCAGTGAGATGTATTAAAATAAATAACCATAGCTCTTCCATTGGTTTTCACACTCAGGGTGAAATACACATTATGATTGCCTTCATCATTCATTCTCACAGGCCGGGTACCTTCCACTTCATTGAGTGAATAATATTGCATCATTGGTGCAGCTTCGAGCTACAGCTAGAGAAACTTCACTGGTCAAAGACACAGCTTTCCCCCTGCCCCCTCAAACGGACACTGTGGAACAAGAACTGAAGTTAGATCCTTCAGAAAACAGCTGACAACACCTCTGTCTACTCTAAGAATGACTTTTTGGGGAAGTTTTGGAAGCACTGGATTTGCTTTACACAACATTACATAAGAAAAGCACCAAACCTTTTTGGTGAAAGGATATACCACGTTACACGTTAACATATACATGTGCAAACAAGTTTAAAGCATGATTAAGTGACATACATAAATACACGAAGCACGTTTCCAGGCAAACCCCACTTTAACAACATGAAAATGGACTCTCCTGCCGTACTGGGGATCGGATAAATAACGGATGATGTGCATGAACATTACAATAAGCTTTGCCACATCCGAATGCATGCAGTTGTGGATCACTCACACCTCGGGTTAATAAGAGGTAGATTCACAGAGCACAAAACCAGGGGAAGCGTTTTTTTGTTTTGTTTTTTAGGAGACAGAAAAACATCAAACTAGAAAAACAAACCTCACAGCTATACATCTTGTATTGCATACTCGAGCTGTGTTTAAAACGAGCCTGTAGCATAGTTTTATGTTGCTCTAACAGCACTTTTAGCCTGTTAGACTGTGCTAGTGTATGGCTTTGGCTTGCATTATTTCTTTTATAATAATATGTTGTATATCCAGCAATATTAAGTTACATACTTAAAGAAGAATATATATATTGACACAGTTATTGGTAATTAACCCTCTTCCATTTCTGCTACAGCAGCATGCAGTGAAGCTCAATGCTCTGAGCTTTACTGCTCAAAGGTAAGCTGACTTTGATTCCTATTAACATGTCAAGTAATATGAAATAAAAGTATGAAACTAAATGAGTATAGTCACTTGATTACATCCAGACACATCTACACAAACTAGGAACCTTTTACTTTTTTGGTGATAAACGCAGCTGAACATTCTCAAAACATCCTACCATACAAACATACATAAGACAACCCTGGATAAATTCTAGTGCAATATATTTAAAGCTAACATAATATTGGTGGAATGCCAGGGGTGTGCATACGTATACCTGTACTGCACTGATAGGTATAGAGAGATTGAAAAGGAGCGACTTGGGGAAAGCTGTGGCCCGCATTGGACTTGCAGGTGTGGTGTTGAGTTATCTAACACTCTGTGACATGTGCAGAGGGGTCAGCATCTCTTCAAAAATGGCTCCCTTGACATTGGACCCTCTCAGGTTAGCTTCTTGTAGATCGCAGCCAGACAGATCACAGTTCTGGACAGGAGAAAAAAACAAAAACAAAAAAAACAAACAATAAAAATTCCTAAGTAATGAGGCGAGCCTTACCGTCTTTGGCCTGTGCTGTTAACACTGTGTGGATTGTGACAGATCGACCGGCTTCTTGTAAGTTTAGTGAAGCTTTTAATCATTTACAAATGTGCTTCAGGTCAGTGTCTATTTGCTCCACAATCATTCGAAAAGCACAAAGTTTGAGATCTTCGAGTTAAAATGAACATAAAATGGAGAAAGAGCGATAAATTAAACCTGTTTTTGCATGTCATCTAGTTTTAAGATTTCAGGAAACATGAAAAGTAAAAAAACAAACAAACAAACAAAAAAAAAAAACGTGGAACTTTGCTTTTCGCAAGCTGCATCACATATTGGGAATTTTATTCAGATTCGCAGTGTCATTATTTCTGCTCCTGATTTTGATGTCATAAACAAAACCTGCCACCTGAGCCCACTTTATTCTGTGCTTTTAAAGATAATCCTTGACTCACCTCGAGATCTGTCCCTGCTAAAGTAGCTCCCCGCAGATTACAGTTCTTCAGCTTTGCATTTTTGAGAGTGGCCACACGCAAGTTGATACCGGTCATTTGGCTTCCTTCCATGTCGACTCCTTTCAGGTTAGCGCCTGATTTAAAGAAAAAAATTAAAATTAAATAATAATAATAAAAATCGTACAGTTAAAACAAAAACAAAAAATAAAAACTAAATTAAGGCTGCCTCCTTTTTCATCAGAAAAGCTTTTAAAGATTACCTTCCAGATTGGCCTTCAGTCCAGATGGATCTTCAAAATTGCATCCTTTGAGAGAAGCTCCCTCAGCATTGGAACACAGCATCTTCACCCCTTGCAAGTTAGCACCCTGCAACCAGCAGAGCAAAGAGCAAAAGTTTTTATGATAGTCTGACCTAACCTCTACAAATTATTAATAGAAAGATTATGGAGAAAAAAAGTGCTGTTTTTTTTAAATAAGCTGAATGTGAGAGGAAGATTTGTAGCAGTATCTTTAAGATATTAAAGAACAGAGTAGTCCTTTTTTCTACACAAGTGAGGGGGCAGCAGATAGAGAGACCAAAAATCCTAAGACAAGTACATTTTTGCATCACCACAAGGCCAACATTTAAAAAACATAACAAACAAAAAAATAGCACATTAAGATACACGGAAGGAGGAAGCATTTACAGACGTGAATGGATATGTATAAGATTTAGCCTGAACAACACCAGAGCCACCACGCTTACATCCAGGTTGGCTCCAGAGAGATCAGCCCGCTCCAGATTGGAGCAGCACAGGTTGGCATGTGTCAGATTGCAGCGGCTGAGGTTAGCCATCTTGAAATTGATGTAGCGCAGGTCAAGTCGGGACAGATCGGCGCCACTGAAATTGAGTCCCTAGAAACATTCAGAGCAATAGGGTCAAGTATAAATTTGATCAGATGATATGAGAGTGAATTAAAACTGTTTCATCTAACCGTACCTGACAGCGGAGCTCTGACTTGGTCGGTGTTGCCAAAAGAAAACGGACAAACTCTTTGCGGGAAATAGGAGAGTGGTCCTCGGGTGGCTGCGAGTTCTGTTTAAAAAGAAAGCATGCAAGGGAGAGATCACATTTTTAACAACCATGTTTCCAAAGAAGCAGAGGTGATATGTAAAAATGAAAATTCTCAGTTAAATTTGGGCTTTCAGTGAGTTCCAAATGACTCCATACTTTCTGCATTTACAAAGACAGGTTATAATTCTGATAATAAAATATTAATGTTAAAACAAATTTTTTTTTATAAATAATTGAAAAATATATATCAATATATATTGAATTTCCCAAAAAACTGTGGGGGGGAAAAAGCAATCACGTGGCAGATCATAATATCAAAAAAAGTTAATTGACAACAGCTCATTAGCATAAATGGGTATTTATCCATTCCACTGCACACAATGGACAAGACCAAAAACTTGTATTGTTGTTTTTTAGTAACACAGACATGGACTCAGGAACACGTCTGAAAACAAATGACGGTAAACTGTTTCCAGGTGCACCCATAAATGGAGCGTCAATACGGAGAGAAATAATAGGATTAGCCGGCTTATTAAGAGCACAGCTCAAAGTCTGCATGTGTGATGGAGGTGCATTAATGCACATGGCATGGGTAACTAGCACATTTGTGAACGCACCATTTAAGATGAATGGTATACACAATTTGACGTGACATATTCTACTTCCCAGTTGATTTGTTTCCTTTTCAAGGAAAGTCTCTACACCATTCATGTAAGACAATGCCAACCACATTCTATGGCAGCTGTGACTCAGGAGGTAGAGCAGGTCGTATATCAGTCGGAGCAGTGGTCCCAAACCTTTTTTGCACCACGGACCAGTTTAATGTCAGACAATATTTTCACAGACCGGCCTTTAAGGTGTCGCAGATAAATACAACAAAATAAAATGATACAGACAAAAACTGTGGCATTATGTAAATATAATAGTAAATTCAGCTGTGTAATTGTGTAACTTTATTAGCAGCGTCCTCCTGAAATGCGCCAACAACATTGAGAGTAACATCCTCCTCTCTGCTTCTTGATGCTCTGTGGTTGCTATAGTAACACGTAAATATTTCCTTCAAAATAAGACACACGACTACAACACGGGAAAAGACCCAGGGAAACCGACTTAACGATAAAAACCCTGAAAACCATACATTTCACACCCGAGCCTCAATTCTCGCGGCACAGTACCAAACGACTCACGGACCGCTACCGGTCCGTGGCCCGGGTGTTGGGGACGGCTGAGTCAGAGGATTGATTCCCCAGCCGGGGGTAGTTGGGCAAGATACTCAACCTCGATTTGCTCCTAATGCAACCATTGGTGTGAGTATAAATGCTAGACAAAACGCTTGGGTGTAAGAAGAAAAAAAAGAAGTGGTTTTATAGATATATGTGTAACGGGTGAATGTGGCTTGTAGTTATAAGCACTCTGCATGCTCAGTTACGGTTTACCAGCTTCACATATCAACATGGCTGCATAATAAAAGCATCTGAATGTGAAGCTGGCATGGACTGAAAGACTAAAAACAAAAACATGCACAAAAAGTACAACAATTGCTTTCCCAGGGTGTTGTTTCTTTAAAAAAAAGAAAAAAATAACATTACAGTCATCAAATTCAAAATGAGTATGCAATCTTAATACTTCTTGTTTTTTTTTTTCTTCTTTGTACTGTTCTCTATCAAATATCGGGTTTAACTGGTTTACAAATTACTTCAGTTTGTTTTTATTAACATTTTTAACAGCATAAAACGTGATTTTATTGTGAACTAGCTTTTTGACTTCCGCATTAAAAACTACCTTGATCGCTACTTCAAGCTGTTCAGCAAGCTGCTCAATTCCAAAGAAGCGAGCCTCCTCGAGGACACCTGGAAAACATTCAGGAGATTGCTACATATCCCTCCATTTTTTTTAACATTTTAGACATTAGATCACTTGCATGCAGGTAGACCTCATCATTTAGGAACAACATTTTTAAAAGAAGGAAAAAAAAGAAAAAGAAGAAAGGTTACCTCGTATATTTATGCCTTCATTGATAATGAGCTGACCGTGTCTCAAGTAGTTGAGAATAGGCTCAAAGTACTCAGGGCTGCGGTCAATGAGGTAAGCCCCATGCTCGTCCTGTTTGTTTCCCCACACATCTGAAAACAGACACAACACAGAGCTTGACGAAACTTACTCAATAACATGGCTGAATAAGAACTGAAATGCTCATTGATCAGCTGGTCTCAGTACCCTTCTCTCGAAACATGTGAGCGAGCATACTCTCCGGCTCCTTGCTGACCAAGGTGCTCCTGATTATAAAAGAAGATGCATTCAGCAACCAGGGAACAGAGAAACAACGAATGAGATATGGCATGAAAGCTGAATTTAAAGCGCAAATACCTGGTGGTGGTGAAAAGACGGCCACCAATGTTAAGGGTTAGCCAGTCAGTGTGAGCTGCCAGCGGATCTGATGTAATCTTGGCTTCATTTTGAGGGTCTGTGATAATAAAGTGAAGGAAGACAACAGAGACATTGAAACCTTTGGACACTCTGACAGTGGATGAGACTCCAGCAGCAGACATGCCAGCACTCACCAATAAATGGATCTCCTTCTGACACATACAGCACGTCGTCATCTCTGGGAGAGGCACAGACGCACATGTCAGAAACATAATGTAGAGAGGCAACCTTCAAATTTGTTGTCACAGCTGAGCTTACCTTATAAGGGCAATGTCATCAATGAGACCACCCTTTCCATTGTACAAACAGGAGGCTTTGATTCCTAACTTATTGCTTGCTACAGATAGTAAGTCAGACAAGGTTCCGTATACTGCTACAACCTAAAGAGAGGGGGGGAAAACGATGGATTAAGGACTGAAAGCAAAAGGGTCACTCCAGCCTAACATACACATGACATAAATGACTCACGGTGGAAATGGTGATTGACCTTAAAGTTCAACGGTAGTTTATTTGTGGAAAAATTTTAATAAAGTCAGAGATTAACCCTGTCATCATATGAGTACATGATGTGGCGTTTGAGTATCAGCAGTTAACAGTGCATCCTGAAACACCTTAGGTACGTACAGTGGAAAAAGCCAGTCATTCTGCGGCCCAAGCTCTCACACTATTACCCACCTTGCCATTTTTACATGTCCCGTTAACAAATAACGTGACTCTTCTCATTCTTCACGCGCTATGGCTGAAGGTCTAGTAAGGCTAAAATAATAGGACAATGACGTATCCTTTCCCAGCTAGTCTCCTTTTCGTGTGCCGAAACAAATGAAGCTGACTAGCTTGCTGCATCAGACAACAACACGAGACAAAAGATGCCTTCACAGCTGTCGGGAAAACTAGATATTCTTTGCAAGTGTAACTTGGAGGAATGCTTATAGGCACAGCTGAACTTGGGAGTGTTATTATTATATTTAAAAAGCTCAATGTGTTTTCTATTGAGTCAACTGTATTAATTTATTGGATCTGTGCTGTTGTCAAGCATTAAATAGAGCTGATGGTGTGATATGTATAAGTTTCAAACAGCACGCGTAATTTTTGATGCTTATAAAATGATAATGCAAGCGTGAGCAGTTGCAGTCGCTGTAGAAGTGCATCACTGATAATAATTATGTCACCGCAGGTCAAAGTTAACCGCGGCCGCTAATTTGCCTAAACAAATCCATTAATGTAACGCTACCAAATCTGAGAGCATCTGAAGGGACCTGTAAACAGCTCTGTAATTGGCTGAGAGGCTTCTACGTAAGCACGTTTCGTGCGTAAGTTATTTGTAGCGCTAGCGTTTAGCCATCCTGAAGGTTTTCGTTTCGTGTGAAGAAAAGCGCCACTCATTCGCATCGCATCAGCCTTGATCTTATTTCAAATGTAACATCTCAACTTGTCATCGGGCCAAACATTCATTGGTTCACTAACAGCATTTTTTGCGGCTTGTTTGTTGCGACGTAGTCCTGTTGGTGGTGGTAATGCGCCACAGAGCAGCCCAACAATAGCAGTAGAAGAAGAACAGTGTTACTGTCAACAGAGTAATCTTTGACAGCATTTCTGTAACTATAAACTTGCGTTCACCTTCAGGTTTGAATGTTTTCATTTATCGCGTTTTTAAGAAATGTCTGACAGACAGCATTGTTTGTGCTGCTCTCATCCCGTCTCCTCTGCTGGTGTTTACCAGACGCTGTACGAAATGGATTTTGAACGAGGTTTGCATTCACCTTTCAGGCATGTGGTGACTGAGTTAAACCGCACTGCTATCAAATATGTAGACTAGGCCAAGCAATACTATTTTGTTCTGATTTGAAAGATGTGTCAGTGAAGTAGGGTGCTGTGCGTCCTGTGCAGGTATCTGGTCTGCTGCAATGAATGGAGACTTGGAGCGGGTAAAGTACTTAGTGCAGAAGGGGACAGACCCTAATTTGAGAGACTCAGCTGGATACACCGCTCTGGTCAGTTTACAGAAGACACGTTTGGCTGCACAGCATGAGCTCATGTACCTAATGTACCCATGTACCTAAACTTGTAATTTACTAATGCTGTTTTCCTTTTTAGCACTATGGAAGCCGCAGTGGTCATCTCTGTGTGTGCAAGTTTCTTCTTGAGAACGGTGCCTGTGCGTCTCCGCAGACGCCAGGCGGGGCCACGCCGCTCCATCGATCATCTTACTGCGGTCATCTGAATGTGGTAAGACTCCTTCTGCAACACAGAGCAGATCCAGCACTCTGTGATGATGATGGCATGTCCCCTTTACACAAGGTACAGAATTTCCAGCAATAACACAGCCATTCTGCTGAGATATAATCATTTAACTTGTGTCTGCATCTTTTACTCTCTTACATGGTTGAGCAGGCTGCAGAAGGGGGCCACGAAGAGGTCTGTCAGCTCCTTGTTGAGCACTGCCCAGCACTCCGCAGCCAGATGAACAAGAGGCTCCAGCTACCCTACCAGCTGGCACAGCAGGGAGACCTGCAGGAGCTCTTAAAACCCCCCTGTTGATGGCAGATGCACTGAACCTGAGGCATGCTGTGTTACTAAGATCACACGAATGATCTCCCACATTTTCCTTAGCAAGCATCAGCATTCATGTTTGGAAGAGAAAGTTACAGCTGTTGATGAGAACTGAGACATGGTGAGGAAATGGATTCGGAAGTGGGAAGAATCTATCGAACACGCCCACCTTTTGAGCTGAAGTGCTCTTGGTGGCTTAATGTTAAGATAACTGGTGGTGCATTATAAGCTTTGATGTGTATTTGTGGAATTAAGTTTGTATCCGGACTCCTACGTTTGGTACAAGACCCAAAACAGTCACACAACTTAGCAACAGCAAGACAAGGACAACATGCCAGTGCAGAGTGCAGAGATCATTTGAAAGGTGCAATGATGTCACAGAACTTGAACACGTAGTGCAGCTTTTAAAAGCTCACAGAGGAAACCCCTTGTGAGTGTTACACAATAGTACGAGTCACCTGTTACAGTCACAATATCAGTTTTTATAATTGGCTCTGTTGAGCATATGGCATGTGTTTCTATTAAAACTGTACGCCAACTTCTCGCCTGTTTTTGGGTCGCTTTTATCTAAAAGTGATCCTTGTTGAACTTTTAAACTCTTAACAGTAGGGGGAGCTGTTGTCCTAAAAGGGCTGGACACTTTCCCTGGGACACCATCTGAATTAGATGGCAACAAGCACAAAGTGACCTCATTCAATCCTCCCAGCACATTGCTGGAGAACTAAACAGCGTAACTGTGAGAAAGAGGGAAATCTGTTACAGCTGATAGCAAGACATCACAGAAGGACTCTAGTGTCCAGGCAGTTTATGTTTATGCAGCTGTACTGCTGATATATTAGTGAACTAATTCCAACAGGTTTTTTTCTGGTTTCTGGTCATTTAAAAAACAAAACATGGGCCAGCTTAAAAAGGGTAAATGGACTGGTACGTATGTCACACTTTTTTACCCAAACTGTGCCGTCAGAGTGTTGTTCACAACAAGCCACATTCACCCATTCCTACAGCACTTTATTCTGTGTATTTAAGTGCTTTCTAACTATAAGGCTCACAATGGATGGCAATTTGGGTTTCGGTATGTTTCCAGGGATAATTTAACACATGAGCTGGAGGTGCTGGGACTCGAACCACAGAACCAATTGGCCGACTTGACCTCCTGAGCCACAGTGGGATGTTCGTTGTTTCTACTTTACTAGTTTTACGACTGTATTTGAGGAAGCTTGTGGAACCTTCTGCTTCTGGTGCAAAGCATTAACACTTTTCTGCACCGAGATGTTGTTAGTTGTGAGTCTCAGGATTTCAGAATTAAGTTAAACCATATGAGTGTCTCACATTCTTAACGGTCTGCTGATTTTTAGCATGTAACTTTTAACAAAAAAATAGCAATTATTAGCTGTTTTTGTTTGTTTTGTACTGAGATTACTTGTTCATTTTTAAGTAATCAGACACAGGTCACATGACTGAAGGAGGCCCGGAGGTGAAAAACCTATGGAAGTATTTCCTTATACTGAAACAGATGGAAATACTTGTGTGACCATTATCTCACATGCTTACTTATTCAAAGCATGTACAATAAGTAACACATGCACATAGGAGAGATACATTTTCCTCTCAGCCTCCTACAGATGTGTGGGTATTAGTGCGGTCTGCACAGATACAAACCCATGACAGAAACCTCTCTCTGCAGTCTGAGGAACTTTCATTGGGTCCGCTGGTGGGTGGTGTTTCCAAACTACCTTCAAACCACATCCATGCCGTGACTGGAGGGGTGCCAGGCCACATCTGGAGCTGATTGCAGCTGACGCCACACAGCACAGGGAGATAGGGTGTTGAGGGGTAGATGGGGTAGGATTGGGGGTATTTTAACTCCGAGAGCTAAGCCAAGAGAGCTGTTTATGCTCAGTGACAAGTTCCTCCTTGCACACAGCTGAGGAACTGTATCTGGGATAACCCGCTTTGATTGCCACATGTCTATAATAGCAGGGTGGTTGGCTTGCCTTTTTCCCCCCCTTTTTTCTTTCTTGTCTGAATGGCATTATGGAGGGGGAAAAAAGCACATTCTGCTCTTTGAGTTGAACCAGTAATTGTGACTGGCACACAGACTGTCGGACCCACCCACAGCACCCTGTGATTGCTCCCCTGCCAGGCTGTATGGAACACAATCAGAGTTGATGGTGATGCAGATTTGGTAGCAGTGAGTGAGCTAATGAAAACCCTCTGTGTCACTTGATAAAACTGGAGGAAACCTTAAGGGCCTTGGTCTTTAATTTTTCATGACCTGGTTTGAGTTTGAGAGTTGTTTATGTGAGAAAAAATCTGGCCTGCATGAGTGAAAATCAAATGCTTGGTCAAGAAAGACCCATTTTTTGCCACACATTTTAAAAATCTCTTTGAAGCATCTGTGCTGCTTCATTTTTCTCAGATTTTTTATGTTAAAGCAAAGGAAGAATGCAGCATGATTTTAACGGCTGTTTTCTGAGAGGCTTCGCATAGTGTGAGGACTTGGGAAGGACTCCACAAGATGAGGAATTTGGACTGCAGCTCTGTTTAGCGAGATTTATTTGGAAAGCAATGAAACTTCCTGGCCCTGGAACCCACTTCCACCATAATGAGCCCAAGTTAAACCAGGACTGGATGTTATTTTCCTCAGAAATAGAAGGTGGTCTGTGTGAAGGATTTAAAGTTGGTGTTGGGAACTTTTTAGTCTAAGTATTGAGAGCAAATACTCCTCTGTGTATTTTTCTACAGATTGAGAATAATGTTAAAGCTGTAAAAAAGTAGTGGTTTCAGTGGTTATATAAATATTATTTTTAATGTTTTTATTTAGATTTCTGTTTTCACAGATAAAAAAGGTCATCTAGTCCTTATCTTTCCTGTGTTCAGCTGAACAAAAATAATGCTATTCTCTTGCCTCGCAGCTGCCCTGGCAGAGCCGGACCTGTCTGAGCTATCCCAAAGTAATCAGGTAAATGGCTGGCAGATGGGCACACATTAGGAGGTGCAGTACCAGAGTCTGGCATGGAAGACAGCTCCATGTTATCTGTTGTGTGTCGCGGAGGTAGGCGTGTGGATGTTGGTTCAGGGGGCGTGTGTAATCAAATATATGGGAGCTGTTCCTCTGAGATGCTGCATAATCCAATTTAGGTCCACTCCCACTTCAAAGAAGCATGTTGTCTGCTGGTTGATGTGATGTTGCAGATCCTACGCTTTCACTTTCCAGGTCAGCGGGTGATCAGATCCATGAGTCCAGAGGCTGCAGCTTAGCTCTTCCAGGCAGTCAGCTCAGTGACCATGGGAAATGTCAGGGTTATCAGGTGATCACCATGTGACA